CTCTTGGTTCCTTCCACCTCCCGACTCCCCAGCAGCTTAGTCTTTCCCCAGCAGCTCCCGATTCATGTTCAAGCATCCATGCTCAGTTGAATCTTAAGCATCATCCCTGATTTCTTGTCCCTCTCCCTTCCCTCCCCTTCTCTTTCCCTCAATTTTGAGCCATACTGGAGAGCACTCGAGCTCTCTCTCCCATCCTCCTCCTCACTTAATTTCCAGCTTCCATATTAGTCAGATCCACGGACTCATGTTCAAAATACAACTAAATTTACTCCCTTCTCTTTGACTAACTCAGCCCAAGTCACCATTACTTCATGCCTGAGTTGTTTAGTTATTTTTTATGCACTAATGTTCTCACTTCTAGTCTCTCCACCCAATCTGCTCATCATATAGCAGCCAGAGTTGTCTTTCCAAAAAAAATGCATCATATCATGTCACTCCCATACTAAAACGCCTTCAGAGGCTCTTAACTTTACCCAGGATATGATTTGCACTTGTAATTAATTAATTTTATTTACTTTTATTAATTTATTTTTTGTTTTCCACTCCTGCTGGTGCTCAGGGATTACTATTGACTCTGAGTCAGCGATCACTCCTGGTAAAGCTGTGTGTGTGGGGGGGGGGGTCGATAAGAGGTGACAGGGATTGGGCCTTGGTCAGGTGGTTGCAAGGCAACCACCCTACCTACTATACTATCTCTTTGGCCCTCAATTTACACTTTAAATTTTTTTAAAATTTACATTTAATTGAATCATCACTCTGAATGAGAACTTGGTGCTGAAAGGAGGTAAAGTGATAGGCATGATACCCCTTCTATCCCTTCGTCACAGTAGTGCAAACCTCAGTCCACACTTTTAAAAGAAGGATTGTGTGCCTGTTGTGGGCCTGTTGTTGTGGCCCTTTTGCCCACCTCTCTGACCTCGCCTCCTTAAAGAGAAGGTAGGAGATGGGTCCATGTATTCCCGATAATGGCTTTAAAGGCTTGCACTCTCATCTGAGGGACAAAGTCTAATCCAAAGAACACATACTAGTGGGGGTGGGAGGGAGAGAGAGTGAGAGGAGGGGCTCTAGGACTCCTTATAGGACAAAGAGCTGAGGTGGAAAGGACCAGATTAGTCTTGTTCTTCCTGCAAATTCACCACATGACTGGAACACAATAGGTACCAACAAATGTTTGTGGAAAAATTGAGTGACAGTGCATGCATGAGCACATCTATCTTTCAGAGCATGCTAAAGAGTTAAGACATGGGACAGGGACAGTCCCCTCAACTTGGAAGGTCACGGAAGATTTTGGACAAGGAGGCAGTACTCTCAGGAATCTGGAGTATAATTCAAGAGATAAACCTTCGGATGACCAGCAGGGCCCTTCAGATCCCACAAAAGCTGTAGCATCAGGTGTCAGATTGCATGTTATGAACCACTAGGTCTGTGTGAAGTGAGAGACTGTGAAGATGACTATGTACCACATAGTATGTCATGAGTGATGTTAGTGGAAGGGAAGCAGGCTGGTTTACAATGGCAACATGTGGCAAATGTAAAACTACTGTCTGATGGGAAGGCAATATGTTAATAATGGTCATAATTAAAATTAATGAGAAGACAATCATAGACGGTGCTGATCACTAGGGTCAGTAAGAGCGAAGCTGATCTTTTTGGAAAACAATATGGACATTCCTCAAAAAACTAGAAATTGCACTTCCATATGACCCAGAAATACCACTTCTGGGAATATACCCTGGGGGCCCCAAAACTCACAGCAGAAATATCATGTGCACTTTTATGTTCATTGCAGTACTGTTCACAATAGCTAGAATCTGGAAACAACCCAAGTGCCCAAAGACAGACAAACTAGATAAAGAAACTATGGTACATCTACACAGTGGAATACTATGCAGCCACCAGGAAAAAATGAAGTCATGAAATTTGCTTATAAGTGGATGAATCTGGAGAATACCATACTGAGTGAAATGAGTCAGAAGGAGAGGGACAAACACTCATTGGTGGGATATAAATCACAAAACCGAAGCTATTGCCCGAAGACAGTAGAATTGAGTGTCAGGAGGACCGGTTCACATTTGGAAGCCTGGCTCAAGCTGTGGGAAGAGAACGGTTAGGCTTAGAGAATGGATCACTATGACAATGATAGGTGGAAATAATCTCTCTAGAAAAGAATGAGTGCTAAAAGTAGGCAGAGGGATATACATGATAACCTTTCAGTATCTGTATTGCAAACCACAGTTCCCAAAAGGAAAGAGAGAAGGATAAGAAAAGTGTCTACCATAGAGGGTGGAGTGTTAGAGGGAAACTCATATGATTGAAACTTAATCATGAAGAACAACTTTGTGATTGTGTGCCTCATGGCTATTTACTACTACTACTACTACTAACTACTACTACTGATGATGATGATGATGATGATAATAATAATAATAAAGAGGAGAAGAAAAGAAAGAAGGAGGAGGAGGAGAAGGAAGGGAAGAAGAAGAAGAAGGAGAAGGAGAAGGAGAAGGAGAAGGAGAAGGAGAAGGAGAAGGAGAAGGAGAAGGAGAAGAAAGGCTGATGAGGAGGTATGTTGGTTAGGCAACCCTGGTTCTGCCCCTGTTGGGGGAGATGGCTGGGAAAAAAATCAGAACTTCTGCGGTCTGGACTGGAGGCTGGATTCTCCAGCTCCTCTAGCATCTGCTGTGAATGCCTTAAGGGGTGGATGGAGATGGAGGGGGAAATGGGGAAACCCCTCCCTCCCTGAAAGGCCATGAGTGCTCCTGATGTTTTGTTTGTTTGGGGCCACATCTAGCAATGCTGGAGGGTTACTCCTGGCTGTGTACTCCAGAATTAGTCCAGTTAGGTAAGGCCATTTGCTCAAGGGCACCCAGTCAGGAAGTTACAGAGCTAGAACTGGACCCAGACAGACCGTGTGGCTTTTGGGTTCACGGTGGCTCAATGGTTAGGATGGGGGTGGGGAGGAGTGCTGCTGAAGTGAGGCAATGGGGACTCCCAAAGGACCCAGCAAACCAGTGAAGAGTGTGTCCAGGAGCTGACTGTGGATTATGCATGGGCTGAAGGCACTGGACAAGCACCTGATACTTCACCTTTGTTTTCTCATCTGTACGATGGGAGCAAATCATTAAGGCTCGGGGCTTCTTAGAGGAATAAATGAGCAAAGTGCCAGCTCTGTAATAGCAGGCATCCAGAATGGAGCTCCCTCTCCCTTCTTCTGGGGTGAAGCTGCCACAGGCTAGATGCAGACCCTCACTCCTTTCCATAGATAGATACTGAGCCAACCAGAGTCGTCCACCAAGAAGGAAGAGGACAGAGCCATGGGGAGTGGGGCCAGGAAAGGAACAAACTCAGAGTGACCACAGAGAGACAAAATGGATTTTCAGCCAATCCATGTGAACCTGACACCTGAGAAATGAATGTTCCCATCAGAGCGGTCACCTCAGGAGGGCTGGGACGTGGCCGAGGTGCTGATGACTGCCAACACTGTCCTCAGCACTTGGGTGTGCTCCAGGCAAGAAAGAACAGGGCAGGAGCTGGCTGTGGGGGGAAGACGGGATTTTAAAGAGGGTCTCACCTGACCTGTCCCCAGCCCCCCCAGAGCTTAGGGCAGGAGTTCAGCCCGCAGAGTTCTGTTTCCCAACTGGGGGCTTCCCAATGCCAAGCTGCAGCTCCCACATTTCCTCAACTCTCGTGCAGCTCAGGAGATGGAGCATTCTCGTCTTAACCTGTGGTCAGGTCTGGCTCAAGACAGGCTGAGAATGGCTGGGACTGTGACCTGTCTCCCCCACAACTAAAGCTTCCCGAGGAGCAGGAAGACGGGAGTCCAGAGGTGGGCCTTGGCCTGCCAGGTGGTGGGGTGCAGAGACTGAAAGCTGAGTGCATCCCACCTGGAGCCACAGTGCACTGTGGGACGAGTGCCTGCGGTTTTCAAGGAGCTTGATCCCAGGAGGAGGGACAGCCTCCATGCTGTAGGGAAAAGAAGGGCTCTTTCCCTGGGAACAGGTTCTTGCATCGGGGGCTTTGCGCCTTTCCCAAAAGTGGCTCAGTGCATTGGTGGGGATGATTATCTGGAGCCTGTGTAAGAGTTCTTGGGAGTTCCTCGGTATGGTGGAGAAACGTGCAACCTTTTATCTACTCTAAGGGGTCCCTTTCTTTGAGAAAAGCCTTGACCGTTGAGGGCTCCTGGAACGGCGTTTTTCCTAAACTCCGTGGCTTGAAATGTGGCCCCGCCTGTGGTCAGAGCGCCTATCCGGGGACCCCTGAAGGACTTCGCTGGCCTCAGGATGGGAGCCGGGTGAAGGGGCCTTTGGGGCACCGAGAGAGTGTGCAGGTGGGGGTTCCTATGCGGCCGGTGGGAGGCGCGTAAGGCGGCCGCAGAGCAGAGGGTCAGGGGCCCTGGGAGCTGGGGCTGCTCCGGCGGTGGCCACTTGTGGCTCCCAGGCGATGCCAGGAGGCCACGCGCCGAGGAGGAGGAGGAGGAGGGAGAAGAGAGGGAGAGGAGGAGGAGGAGGAGGAGGGGGAGGAGGAGGAGGAGGAGCAGGAGGAGGAGGGAGAAGGGAGGGAGAGGAGGAGGAGGAGGACCGCAGGCCTGATGCCACGAGGGCGCCGTCTCCCGAGCGGCGGCAGCGCGCCTCGCCTCGCCGCCTCCGCCGCGCAGCCCCGGACTCCTTACGTCAGGGCAGCCGGGTCCCCCCACCGCGCGGGAGCCGGCAGCCGCGGGAGAGCCGGGCAGAGCGCGCCGCGGAGCCGGGCGCACTCGCCGCGCGCCCCAGCCCGCCGAGCCCCGCCGCCGCCCCGCGCCCGCCAGCGCTCCCCGGGCCGCCGGCCCCTCCGCGCGCGCCGCCCGCCCGCCCGGCCATGCGCGCGGGGCTCCGCGCCTCTCCCGGGCGGCTCCGGCGCGGTGGGCAGCGGCGCGCGGGCCCCGGCGCGGCCCGCTGAAGTCGTCGGCGGGCGGCCCGGCCGGGGGTCGCCACGTCGGGGGCGCGGCCCGGGCCCGCGGCGGAGCCGAGCCCCGCGCGCGGGGAGCGGGGCCGCCCGCGCCGCCCCAGCGTCGCCTCCCCGGGCGCCCGGGCGGAGCTGGTGGCGGTCGCCTCCCGGCTGTGGCGGCGGCGGCGGCGCGCCTGCCTGGCGGCCGTCGGCGTGGTCCTGGCCATGGCGCTGGGGCTGCTCGTCGCGCTGCCGCTGCTGCTGCAGGCGGCGCCCCCCGGCGCCGCGCACTACGAGATGATGGGCACCTGCCGCATGATCTGCGACCCCTACGGCGCCGCGCCCGGCGGGGGCCCCGCGGGCGCCAAGGCGCCGCCGCCCGGACCCGGCACGGCGGCCCTGGAAGTCCTGCAGGACCTGAGCGCCCCCGCGCCGCCCCCGTTCGTCCCGGGACCCAAGGGCGACCCGGGCCGGCCCGGCAAGCCCGGACCGCGCGGCCCCCCCGGGGAGCCGGGCCCGCCGGGACCCCGGGGCCCCCCGGGCGAGAAGGGCGACTCCGGGAGGCCCGGCCTGCCCGGGCTGCAGCTGACGGCGGGCACGGCGGGCGGGGTCGGGGCGGCGGGCGGCGGACCCGGGGGCGGCGGCGACCCGGAGGCCGAAGTGGCGGGCGCGCTGAGCGCCGCCTTCGGGGGCCCCAAGATCGCCTTCTACGTGGGCCTCAAGAGCCCCCACGAGGGCTACGAGGTGCTCAAGTTTGACGACGTGGTCACCAACCTGGGCAACCACTACGACCCCACGACCGGCAAGTTCAGCTGCCAGGTGCGCGGCATCTACTTTTTCACCTACCACATCCTGATGCGCGGCGGCGACGGCACCAGCATGTGGGCGGACCTCTGCAAGAACGGGCAGGTCAGTGTCTTCCCCGCCGAGCCCGCACGCCCTTCCTCCCCGGCCCGCGCCCCCCAGGTGCCCCCAGGTGCCCGGGAAAGCGCGCTCAGCCTCCCGGCTCCCGAGCGCCGGCTGAGCGCCCGAGGGTGCGCGCCACCGCGCCCCGCTCGCCGCGCTCGGAAAGTAGCGCTGGAGAGTGGGGCCGCGCGCTCCCGGAGACCACCCGCTGCACCCTTCCTCCCCCACCCCCAAAACCACACTCTCGGGCGCCCACTCGGCGCGGGCGCGGGGCGTCTGCAGCCCCCCGGGCGCCTTGAAACCTCGTTCCGTCGCCCTCCCTCTTTGTGCGCGAGTTGCCCCCTTTGGCCCTCCTGTCTCCTTTGCTCTCGGCTCTGCGTCCCTGTCCTACCCCGCTGGGTCCCTGTCCCTGCGCCTCCGACTGCCCCTTTCCCGGGTTTGCCCTAGGAGTGCGGGAGGGCGAAGAAGGCAGGGAAAGTTGGAGAGCGCGCGTGCCGGGGCGCGTGGACTAGGGGGGCCGCCAGGAGAGGGCTGGGCAGGCCCGGGTAGATGTGCCCCGGCCCACCCCCGCCTCTCACGACCTGTTTGCAGGTCCGGGCCAGCGCCATCGCCCAGGACGCAGACCAGAACTACGATTACGCCAGCAACAGTGTGGTGCTGCACCTCGACTCCGGGGACGAGGTGTACGTGAAGCTGGATGGCGGGAAGGCGCACGGAGGGAACAACAACAAATACAGCACGTTCTCCGGCTTCCTGCTGTACCCGGATTAGGGGGCCCCGGAGCGCGGGGAGGGGCGCCCGCCGGGGAGCGCGCTGTTCTTTGGCGAGGGTCGCTCCGCCTGCGCCCCGCTGCCGGACATCTCCGTGGGGGTTAAAAGACATCCCTGCTGCTCTCCTTGCTCTGCTCCCCGGCCTCAGTGTGTCTGCGACTCACCGCGCTCAGGGCTGTGCTCCTGGTCCTTGTCCCCAACCCGGGTGGGGGGAGGAGGAGGAGGAGGAGGAGGAGGGAGAGGGGCACACGTCAGGAGCATGAAGCTGAACCCTGCGGACAGCAGCGTCTTCAGCAACCTCAGAGCTGACTTTGCCAAACCGATCAGACTGAAAAGGCAGGCGGGACAGGACGCCTGCCTCCTTCCTGTCCCTCTTCTCTGAGTGTTTTTTTTTGGGGGGGGGCTCCTCCAGGGAGGTGGGCATTGAAAGCAAGCACACCCTGCCCGGGCATCCTCCTGGTGATCTGAATTACCTGTGCGAATTTCCCTCCATCCGCCGCCACCCTGCCTGCAGCAGAATCCCAGCAAAGGAAACTTTGCCTCCCCACCGCTCTCCACCTCAGACCCATCGCGATGCATTAAATTCCGTTTCTAGACTATGGGCTCAGATGTGTCTGTGAGTGTGGCCCCTGCTCAGGCCTCCAGGCTCTCCCTACCCCCACGACCCTCTGCTTGCTTGCCAGCCTCTGCCTTGTGTCTGCTCCCTGGGATAGGTACAAAAGATGAGAGGTCGGGTAGAGCACTCCTCCCTTGGTGTGTGTGTGGGGGGTTGGGGGTGGGGGTGGGGTTCTCCCTCGGGACACAGGCCAACACTAGAAGAACCCAGCAGGAGGTGGAGAGAGGACAGGGTAGATTTCCAGGCTCCAAGCCTGTGGAGGACGGTCTAAGGGCAGGAGCTACTGGGAAAGGACGGGTGGAGGAGTGGTCCCTGCAAGATGGAGGCACGAAGGAGGTGTTTTGGCAAGTGACCTCTTGGCTGCTGCCCTGGGGAATGTCAGAGTCCCTGCTCAGACCCACAGCACACTGTATACATCCTGGCAGTTACAGCCAGGACCACCTCTTCTCCAAGGGCTGCGGAACCAAGGCAGTTCTGTGGCTCACCTGGAACCCCGAATGCAGCCACGGTTGTATAACGAGACTGACTCCGTTTCTTACTTGAAGAGAGAAACCCATTTTCAGGGCTCTCACTATTAATCTGCAAGGTGGTGTGGGCACTTGCTCTGAACCCCCATCTGTTCCTTTGGTCTCCTTTCTTGACTTCCCTTGAGCTTTTTTTCACATACGTGAAAGGAAGAACAACCCCCTCCCCCCCCCCCCGCATCCATTTTCCTATTTTTTCTTTCTTTCTTTTTTTTTTGGTGTGTATGTATTTAGTATTAGGTCAGAGTTCCTATAAGCAGTGGATTATCTACAGAGTTTCTGGTTCACAACTGATGAGTGCTTGGTGGTTTGTTTTGACCAGCTTTTTAAAGAAAGAAAATGTGCATACTCAGAGGTTGTAATATCACTATAAAGTTGGAGACATACACACAACACCCCCTCCCACCACAAACACACCAGATGGATGGAATGTGTGTCACTAAACCATGTCATATCCACGCACACACATATATCCATCCGTCCCTGTCATTATGCTGTATGACTCTGTTCCTGGCTGTACATCTGCCCCCAAGTCGCCTTGTGCTCAACCTCCATTCCTGGAAGATGAGAGCTGTGAGTTCCTTTCAGTAGAAAATTATGCCCCTGCCTGGAGTCCTGTGCTGTCTCTATTCCTCTTTGTGCTCTTATTTTATTTGAATAATGTCTTATTGTCATTCACTTGAATTTTAGCAATGATTGCTTTGCTTTAGTCCAGGGTTAAAAGTGCTCAGAGAGCTTGGGTGGGAGGGAAAACATATATATATATATATATGTATATGTATATATATCATCCCCCCAATTCCAGAGTCGAAACAAGCCCCAAATCCTCAACCTACCCCACCCCTCTTGATGGTGGAGACCCAGCTCAGCTGAGCCCTGGGAAGTGGGGCGGGCAGAGACAGGCCCCATCTACAGTTGCATACGTATCAATTTCTGATGCCTTGTCGATTGTATCATCCAGAAATGCGATTAAAACCAAATGTCTGCGACCCAAATGAAGTCTAATTGCTATGGATCTGCAATCCCCCGTGGGGCCCTAATCCTTTTTGACTTATTCCTCCCCTTCCTCCGATGAGATGGAGCTTAGACACAAAGCCCTCGGTTTAAATTTCAAAAATTAAAATTGACATGCAGCGGTGGCTTTCTGGGGAGCGGGAGGAATTTCTAAGGAGATGCCCAGGCCCGGTTTTATCCTCCGCATTAAGAAGCAATTTGTACTTCTAACAAAACCCCCACGACTCCCCTTTGGCGGAAGGGCAGTGGCAATGCCTTGCCCAGGCCTGGCTGTTCACAATACTTAGACGAATTTGAATCTGAGATTCCTCCATCTGTATTCCCCTGTGCAATGGGGGCTTCTTGCAATTCTAATGCCCAGGCTGCTGGGAGGTTCTGCCAGAGGTGTCAGCTGCTGAATGGATGACAGATTGACGAGGCAGCGGGCGGGAGGACGGCCAGCTCAGGAGTAGCTCTGTGCCTGCATTCTCTGCCTGTTCCAGGCAGACCCCCCTAAAGCCCCTCAAGTTTCATGATCCCATGACTTCTCCAAAGCACTCCCTTGGAAGTGGGTAGGTGGAGGGGGTGGTATATGCTGGCCACCCATCATTGCCTCTTTGATGTCATCAGTCTTGGGGTACCTGGAGAGTGCAAGAAACCCCTGGCCCAGTCACTTCTCCATTGCAGACTCTGGGTGTGTAGGGATTTCTTATCAATGGTATTTATAAGGTGCTATTTCAATTTCCCCACTTGCTTTGGGGGCCAGTTTTTTTTTCTGATTTTGTTCTTAGATTGGGAGAATCATACTTGCTTCTCCCGGGAAGCAGGAGAACCCTGAGAACTACAGGACCCAGAGCCGCTAGCCAACTTGTGCAAATACACTAAGCTTCTGAGACAGAGTACTCGGGGACAAGATAGTTCAGAGAGCAGGGCACGTCTCACAGGCAAGAGGCTCCGAGTTCTCCCCCTGGCACTGACTGGCTCCCTGAGTACCACCAGGTGTAGCCTTGCTAAACGTTTTGTCTTTCTTGAATTTCTGAGGACAGAACCCAGGCCCTCACACATGGGAGGCTTGGGATTTATCTCAGAACCACATTCCTGACCCCATAGATAGCCTTGATGGCTCCTGAGTAGCACCAGCACTACTGGGGTGCTGAATATCAGTAGGCGGGAACCCCTAGGGCTCCTGAAAACTGCTTGGAAGCAACCCCCTATACATACACTCCAAATAAGAAGCCAAAGCTGGAACTTTGGCAAAACTCACACCTTCAGGCTACCCCTTGCCTGACTGAACAAATGAGGCACCTCCAACTTCTAGAGTTCCCAGGGTTCTAAGAGGAGACCCAGAGGGGGTGTGACTTCCGTGCTTAAAGAATTTGACTCAAGATCTTGGTGTTTGGGTCAGTGTGGTTGGCCCAGCAGGACCTCTAGGTCACAAACCTCAATACTCCCCTTGGATGAGTCTGTCTCCAGTCACAACTTCCTTGGGATTCACTGACTACTTTTTTCTCTAACTTCTCTACCTTCTCTCTCTCTCAGTGGATGGTGGATGGTGGGTCTGGAAGCTTCTTGCTGATGGAAGCTTTGGCTGAGGAACATGACTTTTCTGATGAGAAAAAAAATGACCCTTTTTTCATTCCCAAAGCCCACATCTCTGTGGGTCAACTGTTTTCAGGATTGCCTGAGGCAGGGGCGAGGCATTGAAAATTTGGAATGGAGTTACATTTTTCTTCTTTTGTGGGCACTTAAGACAAGGCCCATTTCTACCTAGAGCTCTGGGTAACACCTGGAGCTCTGATAACCACCGGGGCGGGGGGTGAGGGTGGGTTTCCCATTGTGGAGACCAGAGGCTCACACCTCCCTCATTGATCATTGAGTCCGTCTGGACACACACAGGTTTCTGAGGGATCACACCCGGTGTGACTTCTGACTATTTTTGTGATCCACTTTCAATCCATCCTCAGGAATCTCTGTTTTGTTTTTTGTTTTTTGTATTTTTACTACATCTAATTATCTGTACCTTCAAGGTAGCGTCTGCATTGCAGAACTAGGGCAAATCCACATATTTCCCCCATGTGCTGTTTTCCAGTATTTCATACTGGTAAGTCAGCCTCCTGTCAAGAACTCAGAGGGTGGAGCCCTGTCAGGCCTTGATGGAGAAAATCCTCTATGAGTCAGAGGTTAGTCTGCAACCGTCATTCTTTAGGTGCAAATATTTCAATCTATATTTGAAGTATTCGTAATTCTTGATTCCCTTTTTTCTTAGAAGAAAACAATAAATGAAAGTATTCTTATTTTCCTCATATTTCTTCTTTCATTTTTCCTTGCTGTACTTGACTTTGAAGCTCTGATGGTGGCCTTAGAACCAACTCATGAATTAGCACTGGTCAGGATGGATGCCAGAGACTCCTTCAGGTCCCTCTGAATATCAGGAGAAAGGAGCCTGTGGGTGGCTCCGAGAAGTTTTAGATGAATGTTTTGATTTTCTGTTCTTGCCATATGCTAATACCCTTCACTGTCCTAAAAGAGCATGGATGAAAAAAAAAAAGCAATTGCATTAAATAATATAAGAAGAATGTTTTTAGAAATTTAATTGTAATAATTATAAAAACATTTAAAAAGTAGAGAGATGGTACAGGTGTGAAGGCACTTGTCTTGCATACTGACCATGGTTCAAACCTGGCACTACATATGGCCTCCTGAATCCCGCCAGGAGTGATCCCTGATTTCAGAGCCAGGAGTAAGCCCTGAGCACAGCCAGGTGTGGTCCCGTCCCTGTCCCCCCCACAAAAAAAGAATAATGTAATGAGACCTCATGAATTTATCTTCTAATTTTGATGTTTACTGAAGAAGAACAATCAGGCAGAACAATATGCCAGGGATCGGATGCAGGCCTCACACCTGCAAGAGAAGAGCTGTCCCGCTGAGTCACATCCCTGGTCCCTGGAACTGCAGTTTTACTAAAACCTTCCAATGTGCCAGAAATCAGTGCATGGATACAATTGCTTCCTTCCAACTGCCTGTGAGGGATGTTTTACTGGGAGTCCCATTTTGCAGAGGAGGAAATGGACTCTTGGTGAGGTGAAGTTACTTGA